AAGGTGATTATTGATTCAATCAATCTTGAATGGACATATTCAGCCCAATTGAATTCACCCTTCAAGCCTTCATCGCAAATGAGCTTCATATCGTCCTTGTTCGTTGACGTATCACCCGTTGGACAAAGAAATATCCTGACAAGGTATAATAGAACTCGGGCCTTCAGGTCATCCCCCCCGTAAGATCCACTTTTGATATCCTCTTCAACTTCAGCATATGCCACCTTCTGATTCAAACCAGTTTTGGAGGCAATTGCTTTCCAGTTCTTACTCCTACAGACTTCTACAACACTTTTGCCATTGTTTTGTACCCCAAGATGGCTGCAACAGTCGATACCCCCAGAGGGAATGAAAAATCACCATATTTAGCAATACATTGTTTGACATCAAATTGCTCCATCAAGGATCGACACAATTCCCTCCGAATTGGTCGATCCTCTACTCCTATCAATGATCCAAACCTCATTTCCCTCAGCACATTCAATTGATCATTCTCTTTAAGGTGTTCAATTAATGAATTCACCCTTTTTATGTTGCACCTTATCGACACTTCCTACATTTTTTAACAATATATAATGTTATTGTTCTTATATATCTTGTATCAATGTATTTACAAGTTTAATGAATACCTTCTTTTCATGTGCTTTCATCCGTTCTTTGTATTCTTTACTATCATTCCTTGACTGTGTGATTTAAGGTTCCTTTTCAGCATCACTCATCGAATTCTATTTCGACCTCACATCTTTTGTCACCTAATATTAAGCGTAAATGTTTCTTAATCAATACATTAACGCTAAATAATACTCAATGTCAATTTCATTTTACATACCGAACCGCTGTGTGTGCCATCTTCCTTCATCCTTTTGCATTCGATCATACTGTCAACATTTAAAATTTGTAATCAATTTAAAGTTTTAATCCAATTACCATTTCAACAATAATAACAAAAAGACTGATACTTACTAGAAGTACATATATCCACCCTTTGGTTGCTTTCCTCCCATTGACTTCATTTTTCCTTCATATATCAGTTTGCGCAAATCAAATCAAATACTGCTTACATACACTTTATTCAATATACAAAAATAATAACCACTCTTTGTGGTAAAACGATTGGTCTTCAAAAGAATTTGAATGGCCAGTACAACAAGTGTCGGCACATTTATACAACCTAAAACATCATTTTATACCTATAATATCATTTTTACCTATAAATATTAACTAAAAGTAACGATTCGGTCACAAATGCTTCTTTACTTCAAACCCCCCCAAACAACAACACATAAAAACCCTATTTCCTATTACTGTAATAATAAAAAACTAGGGTTTCAACAACGTACCTTTCGATTCGACTGCAGCAACAAATAAACAAAACTTCACGTAGAAACGCCTTCTGAAATGCAACAACAATTATGCTTTGATTTCAAAAACTCTATCTATTTTCAGAGGATAGCTATGCCTTTATATTTACACCGGATATGTTATTTATATTTAATCGATACAACTACATAAGTGTCGATACTTTTATGTCAAGTGTCGATACTTTCGATAGGATATTTATCTATTTCTTTGAAAGTATCGATAATTTTTTACGCGTACTTATTAAAGTATCGGCACTTTCAACATATCCGATATCTATTTACCGGTTTTGTCATTTTGAGACCGGTTTTATCATATTTTTACATGTTATATTGTTCTAGATCAATACATTTTCATAAAGTGTCGACACTTTTTAAGCGCTATAACTTCTTCTCTTTTAAATTCAGAAAGTGTCGATACTTATATTAAATTATCGACACTTTCAACATATCCGGTAACTTTTTCGGTTTTATCATTTTTGAGACATGTTTTATTATATTTTTACATGTTATATTGGTAAGGATCGATACATTTTAATAAAGTGTCGACACTTTTTAAGCGCTATAACTTCTTCTCTTTTAAATTCAGAAAGTATCGATACTAATATTAAATTATCGACACTTTCAATATATCCGGTAACATTTTCCGGTTTTGTCATTTTTGAGACCAGTTTTATCATATTTTTACCTGTTATATTATTATGGATCGATACATTTTCATAAAGTGTCGACACTTTTTAGTTTAATTTCATAAAGTGTCGATACTTATATTAAATTATCGACACTTTCAACATATCCGATATTGTTTTACTGGTTTTGTCAATTTTGGGACATGTTTTATCATATTTTTACCTGTTATATTGTTGTGGATCGATATTTTTTTAAAGTATTGACACTTTATAGGTGCTATAACTTCTTCTATTTTAAATTCAGAAAGTTTCGATACTTATATTAAATTATTGATACTTTCAATATATCCGGTAGCGTTTTACTGGTTTTGTCAATTTTGAGACCTGTTTTATCATATTTTCACCTGTTATATTATTATGGATCGATACATTTTCATAAAGTGTCGACACTTTTTAAGCGCAATAACTTTTTCTCTTTTAAATTCAGAAAGTGTCGATATTTATATTAAATTATCGACACTTTTAACATATCCGATAACTTTTTCCGGTTTTGTCATTTTTTAGACCTGTTTTATCATATTTTTACCTGTTATATTGGTAAGGATCGATACATTTTCATAAAGTGTCGACACTTTTTAGGCGCTATAACTTCTTCTCTTTTAAATTCAGAAAGTGTCGATACTAATATTAAATTATCGACACTTTCAATATATCCGGTAACTTTTTCCGGTTTTGTCATTTTTTAGACCAGTTTTATCATATTTTTACATGTTATATTGTTGTGGATCGATATATTTTTTTAACGTATCGACACTTTATAGGTGCTATAACTTCTTCTCTTTTAAATTCAGAAAGTTTCGATACTTATATTAAATTATCGACACTCGACACATATCCGGTAGCGTTTTACCGGTTTTTTCATTTTGGGACCGGTTTTGTCATATTTGTACCTGTAATATTGCTATGGAGCGATCCCTTTTTCATTTGTATCGACACAAACCGACAAGCTAAGTTTACCGGTTGCCAAATTTTTTAATATTTCTTCATGATTTAGACCTACTACATTATTATTACTCAACATTTCCGGTAGCGCTAAACCGAATATTATAAATATATTATAATGTATCCTGTAACGCCGTATATTAGTCGTATATTAGCCCACCTTTCCGTAGACAATCCCCACTAAAACTCTAAGGTGGCGTTTGGTTGGATGGAATCCCTTGGAATTGGTGGGAATTGGAATCCAATTCCACCACTTTCCCATGTTTGGTTCAAGATTTTCAAGGGAATTAGAATCCCTTATGGAATTCAATTCCATCAAATGAGGGAAAGTAAATTCTATCAAAAAATGGTTGGAATTCAATTCCCTTGTTGGAGGGAATTGAAATTTGACCATACTACCCTCATCAATCATTTGGTAACTTATTCATATATTGAATAAAAATATTTTTTTTTATTATTTCGGGTCTGGTCGGGTTTCTAATTCATATATTCGGGTCGGGTCGGGACGGGTGAAACTTTATTTTGGTCGGGTCGGATCGGGTTTTTTTAAGTGTGATATTCGGGTTCGGGTTTAGGGTGAAAAACACCGGACCGACTCGAAAATATATATAATTCAGGTCGGGTCGCATTAAGTCACTATTTTTATTAAATAAAAATAATTTTTTATTATTTCGGGTTCGGGTTGGGTTGGATTTCTAATTCATATATTCGGGTCGGGTCGGGTCGGATGAAACTTTATTTTGTTCGGGTCGGGTAGGGTTTTTTAAGTGTGATATTCGGGTCGAGTCGGGTTGGGTTTTTTTAAGTGTGATATTCGGGTCGGGTTCGGGTTTAGGGTGAAAAAAACCGGACCGACCCAAAAATATATATAATTCGGGTTGGATTAAGTCACTGTTTTTATTAAATAAAAATATTTTTTTATTATTTCGGGTCGGGTCGGGTCGGATTTCTAATTCATATATTCGGGTCGGGTCAGATGAAACTTTATTTTGTTCGGGTCGGGTCGGGTTTTTTAAGTGTGATATTCGGGTCGAGTCGGGTCAGGTTTTTTTAAGTGTGATATTCGGGTCGAATCGGGTCGGGTTCGGGTTTAGGGTGAAAAAAACCTAACCGACCCGAATATATATATAATTCGGGTCGGGTCGGATTAAGTCACTTTTTTTATTAAATAAAAATATTTTTTACCTATTTTGGGTCTGGTCGGGTCGGATTTCTAATTCATATACTCGGGTCGGATGAAACTTTATTTTGTTCGGGTCGGGTTTTTTAAGTGTGATATTCGGGTCGGGTTTTTTTAAGTGTGATATTGGGGTTAGGTCGGGTTCGGGTTTAGGGTGAAAAACATCAGACAAACCCGAAAAAAATATATAATTTTACCTTATATATTTAAGAATAATTACAATAATATCCATCTATATATAATTTTTTTCAATTAAGTCAATGTTTTTATTGAATAAAAATAATTTTTTTATTATTTTGAACCGTGTCGGGTTGAGTTTCTAATTCATATATTGAATAAAAATAGTTTTCGATATATTTTTTTGTAACTAATTAACATACTCCGATTGGAATGTATCGAAATATTACTCTATCTTTTGGTAACTTATTAACATATTTTGATTGCAATGATTTTAACTTATAATGTTTATTAACATGATTTTTATAATTTATTGAAATGAATAATCAATCGATAAAATGAAAATTTAATATTTTTTAATTTTTTATAATATATTACTATATGTAAGTTGTAAAATAAACTAAAATAAAGAAAAAAATAAAAAGGACAATTCTATCATTTTACCTTACTGAAATCAAATTCATCTAACATGTCTATAAATCAAACAGAATATGAAATTGGATTCTAATTCTATTTCCTGCCAATCAAACATAATATGAAATTGGATTATAATTCTTATAGATTCCAATTCATTCATAAATTTCAATTTCAAACAAACATTCTAGCGAACCAATTCGGCGCACGAAGCAGAATATAATACAGAAGAAAGTAGGGTTTTAATCATCACTGCAAACTATCACTGCAAACTAAAGAGCTAAACATAAAAATCTGGTTGGTTCCTGTTCTCTCCTTTATTTCATTCACTTTAGACAAACGGTTCTTCCTTCCATCTCTATCTACTGCGTCTCTTTGTTTCTTTGATTGTTTTTCTTAATCATCCCAATACAACATTTTTTTCGTTCTTGTTGTTTGGCTTCTTTTTGCAGCTAATTGAAAAATGGCCGGGTTAGCAGAGATGACTGCGGCAGAGTTCTTGCGAGTAAGTTTTTGTTTTTTGTTCTAGTCTCTGTTTGGTTTCCGAGAAAGTGTGCGGAAACGATAATCCACCAATGGGTTTTCCTTGTTTCTTGATTTCGAATTTTAAGGGTTGTTGTGATTTTTTCCCCTTTGATTTTTTATTGTTTAAACAAATAAAAACTATTGAGTTTATCTCCTTTATTCCTTTATGCAAACCCATTTAGTTTCTTAACTTTCTTCTTCGTTTTTTGGTGCATCGTGATTTATTTCAGGGTACGACAAGGCAGGCTATATTTTTGCAGAGAAATACTTTGATCAAGCGAAGTAATTTGCTATGGGGCAAGCTATGTAATCCGAGCCGGATGGGGTATATGTCTAATACAAAGGATGTTTCTTTGAGGTGCTCTTCTCGATCAAAGGTTAAAGCAATGGCATCTGACAATGTCCGTACTAGTTTGGCTGATGAGCAGCTTGGGTTGATTGAAAAGCCTGCTCAAGAGGTCATACATTTCTACCGTGTCCCTTTGATTCAAGAAAGTGCGAACGATGAGCTTCTCAAGTCTGTTCAGACCAAAGTTTCCACTCAGATTGTCGGGTTGAAAACTGAGCAGTGTTTCAACATAGGACTTGCTTCGAAGATTTCGACTGAGAAGGTTTCAACACTTAAATGGATTCTTGGGGAAACATACGAGCCTGAGAATTTAGCAGACGAGAGTTTTCTTGCGAACAAGAGACAAGAAGGGTTGAATGCAGTGATAGTTGAAGTTGGGCCTAGGCTGTCTTTTACAACAGCATGGTCCTCAAATGCTGTTTCGATTTGTCAATCCTGTGGTTTGACTGAGGTGACTCGAATGGAGAGGTCAAGAAGATACTTGCTGTATAGTAAGGGAGCGTTGCAGGAAAATCAGATTAACGAGTTTGCTGCGATGGTTCATGATCGGATGACTGAGTGTGTTTATAGCCAGAGGCTCACATCATTTGAAACCAGTGTGGTTCCAGAGGAAGTTCGTTTTGTGCCTGTCATGGAGAGGGGAAGGAAAGCATTGGAGGAAATAAATGAGGAAATGGGTTTAGCATTTGATGAACAAGACTTGCAGTACTATACCAGGTTGTTCATGGAGGACATAAAACGGGATCCAACAAATGTAGAGTTATTTGATATAGCGCAATCTAACAGTGAGCACAGCAGGCATTGGTTTTTCACTGGGAAGATTGTTATTGATGGACAGCCCATGGATAGGACCCTCATGCAAATTGTCAAGAGCACTTTGAAAGCAAATCCAAACAATTCTGTCATTGGTTTTAAGGATAATTCAAGTGCAATAAAGGGGTTCCTTGCTTACCGGTTACGACCAGTTCAGCCTGGAACAGCCTGCCCGCTGAATGAAACTACTCGTGAAATTGATGTCTTGTTTACAGCTGAAACACATAATTTCCCATGTGCAGTGGCACCCTACCCTGGTGCAGAGACAGGTGCAGGTGGTCGCATTAGAGATACACATGCCACTGGAAGAGGGTCCTTTGTTGTTGCATCCACAGCAGGTTACACAACTGGGAATCTTAATATAGAGGGATCATATGCCCCCTGGGAGGACACATCTTTCACATACCCTTCAAATTTGGCTTCTCCTTTGGAAATTCTCATTGAAGCTAGCAATGGTGCATCAGACTATGGTAACAAATTTGGTGAACCGTTGATTCAGGGTTTTACCAGAACATTTGGGATGAGACTCCCTAGTGGTGAACGACGAGAATGGTTGAAGCCTATCATGTTCAGTGCAGGGATTGGGCATATCGATCATTCTCATATTTCGAAAGGAGATCCTGAGATTGGAATGTTAGTTGTAAAGATTGGTGGGCCTGCATATCGAATCGGAATGGGTGGTGGAGCTGCCTCCAGTATGGTTAGTGGCCAGAATGATGCAGAACTTGATTTTAATGCTGTACAGCGTGGAGATGCTGAAATGGCACAAAAATTGTACCGTGTAGTTCGTGCCTGTGTCGAGATGGAGGAGGATAACCCTATTATTAGCATTCATGATCAGGGAGCTGGAGGGAATTGCAATGTCGTAAAGGAAATAATATACCCAAAGGGGGCTGAGATTGATATTAGGGCTATAGTGGTTGGAGATCATACTATGTCAGTCTTGGAGATATGGGGTGCTGAGTATCAAGAACAGGATGCAATATTGGTAAAGCCCGAAAGTCGCAATCTTCTGGAATCAATATGTGCAAGGGAAAGACTCTCAATGGCTGTTATTGGATGTATTAATGGTGAGGGACGTGTTGTTCTAGTTGATAGCTTGGCAATTGAGAAAAGCCGTGCTAGTGGACTCCTCCTTCTCCAGCTGTTGATCTTGAGCTTGAGAAAGTGCTTGGTGACATGCCTCAAAAATCATTTGAATTCAAACGAGTGGTTTATGCACAAGAGCCACTTGATGTTGCTCCTGGAATCACAGTTATGGATTCATTGAAGAGGGTATTAAGACTTCCTTCTGTATGTTCCAAACGGTTCTTGACAACAAAGGTTGATAGATGTGTAACAGGTCTTGTAGCACAGCAACAAACAGTTGGTCCCTTACAGTTACCTCTTGCTGACGTTGCAGTCATTGCTCAAAGTTATGTTAACTTAAATGGGGGTGCCTGTGCCATTGGTGAGCAACCTATCAAGGGGTTGATTGATCCAAAAGCGATGGCTAGGCTGGCCGTTGGAGAAGCCCTCACAAATCTTGTTTGGGCTAAGGTTACTTCTTTGTCTGATGTTAAAGCAAGTGGAAATTGGATGTATGCTGCCAAGCTCGAGGGGGAAGGGGCAGCCATGTATGATGCTGCTATTGCTCTTTCAGAAGCAATGATTGAACTCGGTATTGCTATTGATGGTGGGAAGGATAGTCTTTCAATGGCTGCCCATGCAGGTGGTGAGGTCGTTAAGGCTCCAGGAAATCTTGTAATAAGTGCCTATGTCACTTGTCCTGACATAACAAAAACGGTTACCCCAGATTTGAAGCTAGGAGATGATGGTATTTTGCTTCATATTGATTTGGCAAAGGGAAAGCGGCGTTTAGGTGGATCCGCTTTGGCTCAGGTTTTTGATCAAATTGGGAATGACTGCCCTGATATTGATGATGTTTCTTATCTTAAAAGAGTTTTTGAGGGGGTGCAGGACCTTCTTGGAAATGGTCTGATATCTGCCGGTCATGATATCAGTGACGGTGGGTTACTAGTTTGCGCTTTGGAGATGGCATTTGCTGGAAATTGTGGCATTGTGTTGGACTTGGCTTCTCGAGGGAATAGTGTTTTCCAATCACTTTTCGCCGAAGAGCTTGGTCTTGTTCTTGAGGTAAGCAAGAATAACTTGGATAGCGTAATGGAGAAGTTTGACGGTGTAGATGTTACCGCTGAGATACTAGGACAAGTAACTGCCTCACCCATTATAGAGCTAAAGGTTGATGGAGTTACTCATTTAAATGAGAAAACTTCTCTTCTCAGAGATATGTGGGAGGATACGGGTTTCCAGCTTGAAAAGTTGCAGAGACTTGCATCTTGTGTGGAATCAGAGAAAGAAGGTTTGAAGCTTCGGCATGAGCCTTTTTGGCCACTGTCTTTCACTCCATCCATTACAGATGAGAAATACATGACTGCAACTTCAAAACCGAAAGTAGCCATCATTCGTGAGGAAGGGAGCAATGGAGACAGAGAAATGTCAGCAGCTTTTTATGCCGCTGGTTTTGAGCCTTGGGATGTTGCAATGTCAGACCTACTTAATGGAGTTATTTCTTTGAATGAATTCCGAGGAATTGCATTTGTTGGAGGTTTTAGTTATGCGGATGTGCTTGATTCTGCCAAGGGTTGGGCTGCATCCATTCGATTCAATCAGCCTCTTCTCAATCAGTTTCAGGAGTTCTACAAGCGCCCTGATACATTCAGTCTTGGTGTTTGCAATGGATGTCAGTTAATGGCTCTGTTAGGGTGGGTCCCGGGGCCTCAAGTTGGGGGTGTTTTTGGTGCAGGTGGGGACCCATCGCAGCCGAGGTTTGTACACAATGAGTCTGGCCGATTCGAATGCCGCTTCACAAGCGTGACTATAAAGGACTCACCAGCTATGATGTTTAAAGGAATGGAAGGCAGTACATTAGGTGTATGGGCTGCCCATGGTGAGGGAAGAGCATATTTTCCTGATGATGGTGTTCTGGATCGTGTACTGCATTCGGATCTAGCTCCAGTACGGTATTGCGATGATGATGGGAATCCAACAGAGGCTTACCCGTTCAATTTGAATGGTTCTCCATTAGGAGTGGCTGCAATTTGTTCTCCGGATGGTCGACATCTTGCCATGATGCCTCATCCGGAGCGGTGTTTCCTGATGTGGCAGTTCCCTTGGTATCCAAAGGACTGGAACGTGGACAAGAAAGGCCCTAGCCCATGGTTAAGAATGTTCCAAAATGCCAGAGAGTGGTGCTCATGATATCGGTTAGTTTTTCTACCCACAATATTTGATCTTACTAATTTATACTTGAATATTATTGAAAGCACTGTCTATAATATACTTGACTTTGTTGAATTTCTGCAAATCTTTATCTAATAGTAAAATTTCAGAATATGTATTGAGCCACTTTTATTGTTTTTAATCACAGGTTATGTTTCGCAAAGGACGAACGAGATGAACTACTGTGATTGGACGATGGACGCTTCATCTGAGTTCGATTTGGAGGTTTTTTACTGTTTATTTGGAAATGACATGAGACTACATTATTTTAGGCATAAGAGTTTGCTTCATGCAAACCTCAGAAACACAAACTTAGAAGAATTTTGCTTATTTGCCTTGTTTTACAAACCTGTTTGGTGAATGCCAGTTTTCCCTTTTAATTTCTTATATATGAATTGAAAATCAAAGTATCGTATCTTATATTATCTGAATATATTTTGGGTTTATTTTATGTTTTCACATCATATCTGAAAACTAGTACTTATTGGAGAGTTCTTTGAAGCTGAAGCAGATACAATATGTGATCTGTGTATGATCATCCTGTTGAAGATGAGGTGTTTTTACACAAGCAATGATGGCATCTATGCTACTGTAAAAAAATAGTGGCTACAGAGTGCTATTTGAGATGAATCAATGTCATGGGTGCTGGTGCGGTTCCCATAAGCACAGATGCACTGATCCAACAATGGCTGAAGCTTTACCTTTAGTGAAAGATTTATAAACTGTCCTAAACATGAGGTCTTTTACATTATTTATATCAATGAGTTTTATGAAGTCATTATTTATAGGGCAAAAGTTATAGGATAAAGAGAATCTGCAAGAAGATGAAAGACTAAGGTGACGTTTGGTTGGATGGAATTTCTTGGAATTTGGGGGAATTGAATCTAATTCTACAACTTTCCCATGTTTGGTTCAAGTTTTCTAAGGGAATTGGAATCCTTCATAACTTAAACTTTCTATTAAATGAGGGAAAGTGAATTTCATCCAAGAATGGATGGAATTCAATTCCCTTGTTGGAGAGAATTGAAATTTGACCATACTACCCTCATCAATATTTTGGTAACTTATTCATATATTGAATAAAAATATTTTTATTATTTCGGGTCGGGTGAAATTTTATTTTGGTCGGGTCGGGTCGGTTTTTTAAGTGTGATATTCAGGTCGAGTTTGGGTTTAGGGTGAAAATACCCGACCTGAAAATATATATAATTTTACTTTATATATTTAAGAATAATTACAATAATACTCTTATATATATATATTTTTTAATTAAGTCATTGTTTTTATTGAATAAAAATAATTTTTTATTATTCCGATGTGGGTCGGATTTCTAATTCATATATTCGGGTCAGGTCAGGTGAAACTTTATTTTGTTCGGGTAGGGTCGGGTTTTTTAAGTGATATTCGGGTCGAGTCGGGTCGGGTTTTTTTAAGTGTGATATTTGGGTCGGGTTGAGTTTTTTAAGTTTGATATTCAGGTCGGGTTCGGGTTTAAGGTTAAAAAAATCGGACCGACCCAAAAAAATATATAATTTTAATTTATATATTTAGGAATAATTACAATAATATCCTATATATAAATTTTTTTTCAATTAAGTCAATGTTTTTATTGAATAAAAATAATTTTTTTATTATTTTGTGTCGTGTCGGGTAGGGTTTCTAATTCATATATTGAATAAAAATAATTTTTGGTATATTTTTTTGGTAACTAATTAATATACTCCAATTGGAATGTATCGAAATATTGTTTTATCTTTTGGCAACTTATTAACATATTTTGATTGTGATGATTTTAACTTATGATGTTTATTAGCATGATTTTTATAATTTATTGAAATGAATAATCAATCAATAAAATGAAAATTTAATATTTTTTAATTTTTTATAATATATTACTATATGTAAGTGTAAAACAAACTAAAATAAAGCAAAAAAACAAGAAGAACAATTATGTCATTTTACATTACTGAAATCAAATTTAACTAACATGTCTGCGAATCAAACAAAATATGGAATTGGATTTCAATTCCATTTCCTGCCAACCAAACAGAATAGAATTGAATTCAAATTTCTGACAGGTTCAAATTCTTTCACATATTCTAATTCCTCATAAACATTCCAGCGAACCAAACGCCACCTAAGGTGATGTTTGGTTGGCATGAATCCCTTGGAATTAGAGAGAATTGAAATCCAATTCCATCACTTTCTCATCTTTGGTTCAACTTTTTCAAGGGAATTGGAATCCCTCATGACTTCAACTTTTTATCAAATGAGGGAAAGTGAATTCCATCAAAAAAAATGGATGGAATTCAATTCTCTTGTTGGAGGGAATTGAAATTTGACCATACTACCCTCATCAATCTTTTGGGTGATATTCGGGTCGGGTCGGTCAAGGTCAGGTTTAGGGTGAAAAATATCCGACCCGAAAAAATATATAATTTTACCTTATATATTTAGAAATAATTACAATAATACCCCTCTATATATAATTTTTTTCAATTAAGTCATTGTTTTTATTGAATAAAAATAATTTTTTTATTATTTCGGGTCAGGTCGGGTCGGATTTCTAATTCATATATTCGGGTCGGGTCAGTTTTTTTAAGTGTGATATTCGGGTCGGGTTCAGGTTTAGGGTGAAAAATACCCGACCCGACCCAAAAATATATAATTTTACCTTATATATTTAGGAATATTACAATAATACCTATATATATATATATATATTTTTCCAATTAAGTCACTGTTTTTATTGAATAAAAATAATTTTTTTATTATTTCGGGTCAGGTCGGGTGAAACTTTATTTTGGTCGGATCGGGTCTCGGATGGAGGTTCCCTTGGTCTCGGATAGAGGTTCCCTTGTTCTCGGGTCGGGTCGGGTGGACCAAAAATCTGACCCAACCCGACCCATGGCCATCCCAAATTGGGATGATTTAAACTTGTGATGTTTATTAGCATGATTTTTATAATTTATTGAAATGAATAATCAATCAATAAAATTTAATTTTTTTTTAAATTTTTATAATATATTTCTACATGTAATTTATAAAACAAACTAAAATTAAGCAAAAAAAAAGAAGGACAATCCTATCATTTTATATTACTGAAATCAAATTCATTTGACATGTCTGCGAACCAAACAGAATATGAATTGAATTCCAATTCAATTTCCTGCCAACCAAACATAATATGGAATTAGATTCCAATTCCTGACAGATTTCAATTCCTTCAAAGATTCCAATTACTTCAAAAACATTCCAGCGAACCAAACGCCACCTAAGAGTCTCCATAGGAAGATGAAATGGGAGATGTCCACAATTAATAGTAATCAGATGAGATAATTGATTCAAGCATTTGGTGCACAAATTTCAGGCGTGCAGTGTTTTCCCTTGCCAGCTTTGTTTCTACACACTGCAAACTTCAACTTATAATTACCATTTTCATCAATCATCATCCTCTCATGAATGCTTTGTGACTGACAACACCACCACTCTTACCTTGTACTGTTTACCATTTTTCCTTCCAAACAACACCATAACACTATCACCACCCACCTCTCTCTCTCTTTCTCCCTTTCTCTCAAAGACTTTAATTAATCTCTCCTTCACTATCTCACTGCACAACAAAGTTATGCCCTTGTTGGCTCCTTGATATCAAATGTGGCAACTGTTGGAGAAAACGGGTTATTTCCCACACGAACGTAGTTTTAAAATTGACCTAAAATGTCAAGATTAAAACCATCAAAGGTTGCACAGCGGATAAACCTGTCAAACTATTGAATATTGAAACACAATGGAAAAGAATCGAATAAAACAATAAAGGAGAGAACACACCAAATTTACGAGGTTCAACGAGAATATCGTCTACTCCTCGGGCACCACACCGGATGATAACTTCACTATATCGCCAATATTACAACAAATTGAATTCTTTAGAATTCCCAAAGTGGGAGAATGAAGAATACAAGAGGAAGAGAGAACTTGTTTTTGGGATTATTTCTAATGAAAATACTTAGGCCTATTTATAGTTGAGTTTTAAGAACAATATGTTCAAAGTTTGACCACCTACCAAAGAATTTTCCAATGTGTACAAGTTAGCCACCAAATATAAAATTCACATGTTCAAAGTTTGGCCACCAACCAAGATGAAATTTCCAATAAGTTGACCACCAACAAAGATGAAATTTCCAACTTGTCAACTTAATTTCTAGACAAATCTAACAAATCTCCACCTTGGCTTGAAATTACCAAGCCTACTCAACTTCTTCAACTCCCCAAATTTTTAGTGCCTCTAATTGCGCTCACAAGCGCCACACACCCGAAGGTGTTCATACTTTCAGGATGTTCATCAATTTCAAACAATGATTGAACTTGATTACTGTTACCACCTTGGTCATCATATCTGCAGGATTTTCTGATGTCGCAATTTTCTGAAGTAGAATCTTTCCTTTTTCAAAGATCTCCCGCACAAAGTGATACCTCACGTCGATATGCTTAGTCCTTGAATGGTATACTTGATTTTTTGCTAAGTGAATAGCGCTCTGACTGTCACAATAGAGACTAATGTGACTTTGAACAACTCCCAAGTCTTCCATCAACCCGTTAAGCAAAATTGCTTCCTTTACAGCCTCTGAAACTGCCATGTATTCTATCTCTGTAGTAGACAAGGTCATCATAGATTGCAATGTAGACTTCCAACTTACTGGGGCTTTAGCAAGAGTAAACAAATACCCAGTAGTTGATCGACGCTTATCCAAATCACCAGCATAATCGGAATCAACATATCCAACCACACACTGACCAAGTGCTTCATCCTGTTCAAAAACTAAACCAACATCCACGATTTATTGGAGATACCGTAGAATCCATTTCACAGCTTGCCAATGTCCTTCTCCAAGATCATGCATGTACCTGCTTACAACTCTAACTGCTTGTGAAATGTCAGGACGCGTACACACCATTGCATACATCAAGCTCCCAACTGCATTAGCATATAGAACTTTTGCCATATACACTCATTCTTAGTTAGTTTTAGGAGATAATTGAGAACTAAGTTTCAAATGAGAAGCCAATGAGATACTTACATGTTTGGTATTTTCATTCACACCAAAACATTGTAATACCTTTCTCAGATATTGCTTCTGTGTTAAGCAAAACTTCCCTCTCTGTCTATCTCTGCTTATCTCCATACCAAGAATCTTCTTGGCCTCACCTAGATCTTTCATCTCAAACTCTTGATTCAACTGAGCCTTTAATTTGTCTATCTCATTTTGACTCTTCAAAGCGATCAACATATCGTCAACGTACAAGAGAAGATAAATAAAAGATCCATCTTTGAGCTTTTGCAAATACACACAATGATCATATTTGCTTCTAGTATACTTTTGCCTCCTCATAAAGCTATCAAATCGCTTGTACCATTGCCTCGGAGATTGCTTCAATTCATATAACGATTTGTTCAGCTTACAAACCCATTTCTCATAACCACCATCTTTGTATCCTTCTGGCTGAGTCATATAGATCTCCTCTTCTAAATCACCGTGCAAGAAAGCCGTCTTTACATCAAGTTGAGCTAGCTCCAAATTCAACTGTGCTACTAAGGCCAACAATATTCTAATGGAGGAATGCTTCACAATAGGGGAAAATACTTCATTGTAGTCGATTCCCTCCTTTTGAGCGTAGCCTTTAGCTACCAACCGTGCCTTGTAGCGAACATCTTTCTTGTTATGAGATCCATCTTTCTTTACAAATACCCACTTGCATTCAATGGCTCTTTTACCTTTCGGTAATTATACCAGTTTCCAAGTGTTGTTCTTTTGGAGATATTGCATTTCTTCATCCATGGCACTTTTCCACTTATTATTTTCCAAGCTTTGTATTGCTTCTTGGTAAGTGATAGGGATATCATCATCAACAACTGGAAGAGCATAGGCCACCATATCAACAAATCGAGTAGGTCTACGAATTTCTCTCCTTGGCCTTGTAACTACAAGTGGTTCTGGTGTCTCCAATGGTTCTTGGGTTTGAACCTCTTCATCTTCTGATTCTTCTATTGGAGTTGAAGAATCAGCTGCATCAACTTCTGGGATCATCGTCTGCTGAAACTCCACTTGTTTTGGAGTATGCTCCACCTGCTGTGGAGTACTGCTTGTCTGGACAGCTTCACTTGTTACATTCTTTACTAGGGCAGATTCATCAAAAGTAACATCTCTGCTACAAATTATCTTCTTGGTGTCTAAACACCAAAGGCGGAATCCCTTCACTCCATGGGTGATTCCCATAAAGAGAGCCTTCTTTGCTCTCGGATCAAGCTTGGATTCCTTCACATGATAATAAGTAGTGGATCCAAATACATGTAAGGAATCATAATCAGTAGCAGGTTTCCCAGACCATACCTCCAATGGTTTTTTTCCTCCTATCACTGATGACGACAGACGATTGATGAGATGGCCAGTATATGTCACAGCCCAAAATGCCTTGCCTAACCCATCATTAGACAACATACATCGAACTTTATCCAATAGTGTTCGATTCATACGCTCTGCCACCCTATTCTGTTGTGGTGTATGTCTAACAGTGAAGTGTCGAACAATACCATACTCATGGCAAACGTCAAAGAATGGGTCACTTTTATATTCCACTCCATTGTCTGTCCTAAGACGTTTGGTCTTTCTACCAGTCTGGTTCTCGATCATATTTTTCCATTTCATGAAAATTTGAAGCACTTCATCTTTAAACTTCATCGGATACACCCAAACTCTTCTGGAAAAGTCATCTACAAAAGTTACAAAATAATGGTTTCCTCCCAAAGACGATGTCTTTGAAGGACCCCATACATTTGAGTGAATATAATCTACAATACCTTTTGTATTATGTATAGTGGTGCCAAACTTCACTCTCTTATGCTTTCCTAGAACACAATGCTCGCAAAAGTTCAATTTGCAAGCCTTTGCACCTTTCAACAATCCTTTCTTTGTCAGAATTTGCAAGGATTTCTCTCCAGCATGTCCCAACCGTATATGCCACAACTGGGTTGCGTCCAAATCATCACCTCCGGAAGCTGCTGCAACTGTTCCAATAATTGTACTACCTTGGTAGTAATACAAATTATTTTTCCTGATGCCCTTCATCATCACAAGTGCGCCATATGTGACTTTTAAAACTCCATCTCTCATAGTGACTACTGAGCCTTTGGATTCCAAGGCTCCCAACGAGATGAGATTTTTCTTCAAACTGGGTACGTATCAGACATCTGTCAGAACTCTGGTTGATCCATCTTGATTCTTCAATCGAATTGAACCTATCCCAACAGTTTTACAGGCATTGTCATTTCCCATATAAACAACTCTTGCATTTAGTTCCACTAAATCGGAGAACCACTCCCGATTAAGGGACATATGATAGGTGCAACCCGAATCTAATACCCACTCATCAGAATGGAATGTTGTTGATGAAGCAACCAATGATATGTCAGAGTCATGTACATCATGCTCTGTAATACATGCATCTGGAGCAGCTTTTCCTTTCTTCTTCAGTTTCGGACAATCTTTCTTTTAATGGCCTTTCTCATGACAAAAGGCACATTCATCTTTTCCTAGTCTGGACTTCGACTTTGATCTCCCTCTCCACTTTGGCTTTTGACTTTTCGAGCGACCTCTTACCACCATGGCCTCCACTGCTTCGTACTTGCTCTCCTTCTTGGTTTTCTTCCTGAGTTCATAACTATACAAAACAGCAGTTACATCTTTAAGAGTAACATTATCCTTACCATGAAGTAACGTTGTCTCAAGGTGCTCAAATTCATCTGGAAGAGATGACAACAACATCAAAGCCAAATCTTCATCTTTGAAGGTTTCATCCATGCCCAATAAGTCTTCCACTAGCTCATTGAATGCAGTGATGTGTTCACTCATACTGGTGCCTGGTTGATAATCAAATCTGAACAATCTTTTCTTCATGTGGAGACGATTCTGAGAGATTTTCTTTAGGAATTTTTCCTCCAAAGCTTTCCACATCTTACTTGCAGAAGTCTCGTTCTTGTAGCCATACTTATGCTCCCTGGAAAGACAAGATCGAATTGTGTTGCACGCCAAACGATTGATTTTCCCCATTCTTTCTCCTCCATATATTCAGGCTTTTCTTCCTCAATGGCGATGTCTAGACCTTGTTTGGAATAAAGCGTCTACACCTCGCCTTGCCACATGCCAAATGACCGGATCCATCGAACAACTCCACCGAGAAATTTACATTTGACATCACCCTCCTCACCGGTCCAGATGAAGAGCTTGATGTCTCAACTGATCCGTATTTTGGCATTTTAATTCTAACGAACAATATTTAATATCACAAACTGTATCTTTTCAGCAACGGAACCACCAGGATAACCTCAACCGAAGCTCTGATACCAATTATTGGGGAAAACGGGTTATTTCTCACACAAACGTAGTTTTAAAATTGACCTAAAATGTCAAGATTAAAACCACCAAAGGTTGCACAGCGGATAAACCTGTCAAACTAGTGAATATTGAAACACAATGGAAAATAATCGAATAAAACAATAAAGGAGAGAACACACCAAATTTACGAGGTTCGACGAGAATATCGTCTATTCCTCGGGCACCACACCGGATGATAACTTCACTATATCGCCAATATTACAACAAATGGAATTCTTTAGAATTCTCAAAGTGGGAGAATGAAGAATACAAGAGGAAGAGAGAACTTGTTTTTGGGATTATTTCTAATGGAAATACTTAGGCCTATTTATAGTTGAGTTTTAAGAACAATATGTTCAAAGTTTGGCCACCTACCAAAGAATTTTCCAATGTGTACATGTTAGCCACCAAATATGAAATTCACATGTTCAAAGTTTGGCCACCAACCAAGATGAAATTTCCAATAAGTTGACCACAAACCAAGATGAAATTTCCAACTTGTTAACTTAATTTCTAGACAAATCTAACAGCAACTTCTCTTTGGCGCAGCTGTTGTAGACTCCTTGCGAACATCCCTTCAAACCCTATCCCAACAACCCCATTTCTCAAAGATCGATTTTGATAAAAAAAAACAAGTTTTTCTTCCCCAAAATGGGATTTTGGAATCTGGGTGAGAGAGCAATTGGGAGGAAAAACAGAAGCAAGCTGGGATCTTGAAGAAAAAAACAAGATTTTTCCAGTCTTGGCTCTGCTGGAAAAGATAGGGGTTAAAGCCAAGGGTGAGAAGTTGAAGAAAAGGATTGTCTTGAACAATGTATAATTGAGATCAAGTGGTGGTGTAGAGTTGAATAGAAAGAAGGTTTCTGTATGCTTGAAGAAGAGAACTGCAAAAAATAGGGCTTATAAGTGTGGGTTATTATTCCCTTACCAAGGTATGATTCTATTCACATTATGATCGTTTTTCATTACGATTATCTAAGAAAACTCTGAACTTGGTGCACTCTTTGAAAATCTCTTCAACGAGTTATAAAAAGCTGTAGATATGGTTATGTTTTGGATTATGATGAAATTACATTTGCTGGAATCATCGTCATTTGTAACATAAAATTCATGAAGTATATATATCTTTAAGTTTTGATTTTTTTCATATAATATGTTAGTGACAGAAAATTGATTCCAGTTTTCGTTGTGATCTTATTGAGAATATCTGACATGGGAAAGTGAAAGACAACAAAATGTTTTTTGTGTTTAGTATACGTAACGGCGATTATACATTGTAATTACCCGAATATCGATTATCTAATAGTTGTTATAGATCTTTAAGTTCAACAAGTTGTAGAATATTTTCTTGTGTTGAGAATATCGATTATCAAATCTATTTTCTTTGCAAACGAGGCAACATCGAGGTTCGTCTTTTACGTTTTTAAACCGAATCCTCGAGATATTAGAAAAGGATTAGACGGTTTAACGAAAAATAACGTACTAATAATCAAAATATAATAAATCAATAACGTTAGTGACTAAAATATAACTCTTTCCTTAAAATTAACGATTAAATCCAACTCTCTTATTCAGGTTATCCGTGTCGTTGAATGAAAATATCTGGTACATGTTATTTATTTGTCAAGTCAGTAACTTGTTAATGGTTTAATGGCAATATCGTAACAATGATTAAAATATAACAAATCGATAATATAAGTGATCAAACATGATTTTCTAAAGATCAATCACTAAAAGTGAATAAAATTGAAACCAAAATGGCCATTCTTTGTAATTACCCTAATCTTAATAGAGCAAAGCAAAAGTTCACTCGCTTTCTAAAGACCGAAAACATTGACCTCTTATTACTTCGTTTTAGATCCAAAATCCAAATATAATTTTTGAGTTTAGATCTCTCGCTTCCATTATCGAATACCAAAAGGAAAAAATGGCAGATAACAACGGTGGCAACAACAAGAACAACAATAAAGAGGAAACGAGCCCTCTTTTGAGCAAACAAGTTGTTGGAGAAGATGAGAATAAGAAACAAAATGTTAACAAATCAAAGGAGGCGACCGTCGAGGTGGCAGCTCCGCCGGAGGTTGGTACCGGGGCTGGGTTTGGGTGGACCGCCGATGGGCTGCCGATGGTCCACGGGAGTGTTGTCGGAGAACCAATGGGCCGGTACCAGTGGGATTCTCCCCTCCTTGCTTGTCTTGGCCGTAACGATGAGTTTTGCAGCAGTGACATTGAAGTTTGTACGTTTTTATATAGTTTCATTTGGGAATTGTCAATTCGATCTGATACTCTGCGAATTTGGTATGTCTAATCGTTTGTGAAATTTGGCATTTTTCCTGCATTTAGAAGCCAAACTATATAGCTAGGCTTGAACTTAAGCTGAAATTTGATTTATCTGTGTTTTTCAACCTCGGAGATAGAGAAATTGGAATTTAGAGGGTGAAAAGAAGGATAGAGAGGAAATCAAAAGGCTATTTATGATTTTGCGTACCAGTGGGATTCTCCCCTCCTTGCTTGTCTTGGCCGTAACGATGAGTTTTGCAGCAGTGACATTGAAGTTTGTACGTTTTTATATAGTTTCATTTGGGAATTGTCAATTCGATCTGATACTCTGCGAATTTGGTATGTCTAATCGTTTGTGAAATTTGGCATTTTTCCTGCATTTAGAAGCCAAACTATAATAGCTAGGCTTGAACTTAAAGCTGAAATTCTGATTTATCTGTGTTTTTCAACCTTCGGAGATAGAGAAATTGGAATTTAGAGGGTGAAAAGAAGGATAGAAGAGGAAATCAAAAGGCTATTTATGATTTTGCTTGGATTGCGATAAAAGGATGGATAGGAATTTTAATATTATTCATTGTTTTTTATTCCATGATCAATTAATTTCTGGCTTATGTTATCTTTTATGCAATCCTATATGATGTCGTTAAGTAGCTTTCCTCTCCTTTTCCTAGTGCGCTGCATACACCCTACCTCTTTTTCTGTCTTCTTCGCCTGCGGCCGGGCTGCCTGCCGTCAGCTAACTCTCTGGCCCTTCGCCATCCCTCCCTTTTCTCCTCCATGTTTTCCCCCTTTCCCTCCGTTTTCATTTTCTTTCCGTCGCCCTTTCCTTGTTTTCTTTCTCTGCTTGTCCTAACCTCTACCGATCTGTCACTCCTTTGTCTCTCGAAGCCGTAGCCATTTGTGTTTTAGGATTAACCTTTCCTCCGGATTTTGGCCGTTTGGAGCCGCCTATTGGGTTGCTCGTTTGGGATTTCACTTCTCCGGTGTCAATAGGATCGCACTCAAAGCTTATGTCGGGCAAAGGGTTTTGTTTTCTCTAGACTTGACATAGGTTGGAAGGTTTCAAGGAGAGTTTGCATTAAATTTATGTTGTCCATCCGTTGAAGTTCTCGCAGTCAAGACCCTCGTGGAACAAAAGATGAAAGTTGTGGATTTGAAACGCTGATGCCCCCAATAGATTGCTCTTTTTTTGTTTGTTCTGTTGTTTTCCTTTTGCTTGGCTGCTGGAGTCTATCGACCAAAGCTGTTTTGGGGCCCTTGTTGTGTATTGTTGTTCTCTAGGCTGCTATGACCTGAGTATCCTATGGTTTCTTTCATGAATTCCTTCTTCTTTGATTAAAAAAAAAATCCTGTATGATGTTTTTTTTTTAATTCTGAAACTTCAATTTTATTTTATAAAAATTTGTATACGATCCATATTCTTATGTGTATAGGAATTATATGGATATAGGGATATGGCCATATGAATCTCCAAAGATTTTTCAGATACAATAAAAACTTGAACATACGTATGAAGCTTGAATTTGCTTCTTTAGCTTAAATTTTCATATTTTCAATGACCCATTTGTTTTTCAAAAAATATACAATAAAATGTTCTACTAGGCTTTTCTTTTTCTTTTTTCTTTTGCGGATCTAATTAATTTTTCAGTTGTATATTGCCCATTTTTTCTTTTGATTTTGAATTATGATATTTTGGTCAGGTCTACTCGGAAGCGTGGCCCCTTGTGTGCTGTATGGAAGCAATGTTGAAAGACTCGGATCTGCACCAGGGACCTTTGCAAATCACTGCTTGCCTTACTCTGGTCTTTACCTGATTGGAAATTCCCTTTTTGGCTGGAATTGTCTTGCTCCATGGTTTTCATACCCTAACCGAACCGCAGTTCGTCGCAAGTTTAATCTCGAGGCAAGTAAATCTTATGTTTTATTTTCCTTTGCCTTTTCAGGTTATGGACATCGTTTTAACTAGCTCATTAAGCATATAGTAAGGGTTTAATTATGGTTTTGTTTTTTTGTTCAATTGACGTTCGAGTTCAGTGTCCCTCTGTAGATCCTTGTTTCATCTGGTATTTCAAAGTATCTAAATCCAGTTATGTTGTTGGTGGAAAAGTTAAATGTTCTGTGTTGTGAGGCACTTAACAGGTCATGTTTGGAAGATGTGGGTGCAACGCGAACAACGCGAACACTGCGAGTTGTCCTGTGACTTTGCAACACATGTTTTCTGCCATGCATGTGCTCTTTGCCAGGAAGGCCGTGAACTTCGTCGAAGGTTGCCTCACCCGGGGTTCAATGTTAACCCAATGCTGGTCATGATCCCTCCCGGGGAGCAGACCATGGGCCGCAGTGGCTGAGTGCATACAGCCCATCCTGCCTTATATAGTGAAAGAACTCGAATAGTTTATCGTTGCATCTTCCATGTTTTTATCAGTGATGTCATACAGTAAAAGTGTTAAAACGTCATCTACATTGTCTAAACTCTCAAGTTTACCATTAAAGGATGATTGCTAGTTGTGGTCAAACCCAGTAACATACTGATGGAAGTGTCGTGTGTATGGATTTCACCTATATTGTGTGTATAATACAGTAAATGTTCGCTTTTTCTTGAAAGAAGTTGGTGCGTTGACTTTTTAGTTTTTATATTTTTGGATATTCTCTAATGAATTGGCTCATGTTGGATTTATAGGATTGAAGATGAATGAACTCTACATACCCAAACTGGAAATGATTAATAAGGTTATAATTAATTTGTTCTTGAAAAATTTTGTATAGGAAAAAACAGGTTTCCTTTTGCATGCTCGAAAAGGCGAAAGAACACAAGAAAAAGATCACCTAACTAGACATTGTTAGGGTTTCTTTGTTCCCATGAATAGTTCCATTGGACTGTGGAAGTAGCTAAAAGAGTACGAAAACCTAAACAAATGAAGAGTAAATTGAAAACGAAAAGGAAATTAGAGTAAATGCAATTAGAAATGAGACAAATAAACTGTACCTGATGAACACAAACAGCATTTTACTTCTAGTCTACTGAATATGGGATTAAGTTCTAATTAAGATTTTAAAAGTTCAACAAAAGCACCTCTGGGAACAAAAAAGGAAGAAAATCATGAACAAACCGTTTATAACACAGAGAACAGAGGAAATCGGGCCTGGAAATCATTACTCTCCTGGTGCAGAAACTCCTTGCTTCAGCCTCTCTCTCTTCATCTTCTTCTTCGATACTGGCTTCTTTTTCCTAGGAGGAAGAGTCTTTTGCGCATACAAGTAAAGGACATAGTTCCCAACAAGGAATGTCAGCAGCAGACCGCCAACAACCAGCAACACTATCAATCCGGGATTGAAGCCTTTCGGTTCAGTTTCATAAATAATCCTGTTTCCCTATTGGATTAACAGAAACCAAGTTATTACACATGTAACATAATCTAATGGCATAAACACAACTAGCTACTCAATATGTATCCTCAACCTGATAAACTTTTGCAAGGCCAAAGGGATAGAAACAGAAAACTTTCCTACCACTTCAAGGTTGCTTAATTTTCGAAGTGATTATTGGGTTCAATTTATGATAAAAGATACTCACTTAACAAAAGATTCATAATATAAACCAACACAACATTTCAGCAAAAGATACAAATCTATCATTGTTTAGCATACGATTTAAGTGATTGCAGAAGGTTTCTATTGAAACCCAGAAATCTATGCATGCTACTGCATCATAATAACAAAGTGTTCATAGTGCCTTCTTAGAACTGACAATCAGTGTATTTATGTCGTGTATTAAGCATACCACATAGAATTGCATAACAAAACCATCGCATGCATGACAAATCAACTAAAACTTTCATTATTCCATTTTCCCTTCTAAGTTCTTTCTAAGAATTCAAGAGAGGTAAGGATTAAGAAAAAACCCAACCCAAATTAATTGATCAAATCCCATATAAATATAGTGTTAATAATTCCCATGAGGTAGAAAGTAGCAACCATTAAATGACTTCTCAGAAAAATAATCAAAAACAGAAGAGGTAGAGATGTAATTAATTAAGCTAGAGAATCAGCATGCAAAAGTCTAAAAAGATTGAAATTAAACTCGGAAAAACACTAGATCGGGACGAAAACAAGCAAAAAAGGTAAGAAACAAAACCAGATCTCTACATCAGAATGATAAATTCGAACTGATTTGCATGGATCTCGTTCAAAAGCTATTGAAATTGAGAATTAACGAGAGACATAAAATAAAGAGGGGAAAAAGAGATATCAAGCGATCGAAGGCGGGACGGACCTTGTCGGCGAACTCGAAGTCGTCTGCCATGGCTGCGAAGTGCGAACTAAACCGTGGAGCTCCTCACCAGCACAAATTTAGATTTTGGAACGAAAGAAAACAGTTTCCGGTAATTAAAGTGATTGTATTTTGGTTTAATTTTATTTTTGACTAAACTACAAAATTAGTCACTAATTTTTTATTAAATTTTCTTTTTCTCACTCAAGTTTTAAAAATAATAAATTAATTACAAATATTATCTTTTTATAACAAATCGATCACCGTTAAAGTTGTTAATGGAGATAATGAAATGCTGATATGTCACCGTTTTACCACACGTTTGGTTTTCTAAAGTTTTTGACTGGTATTTAAGAAAAAAATTGATGAAAGAAAGTCTCTTCTTCAGTATTTTTTAAACTTAACAAATCAAAATGTGCCGTTAATGTTATCATAACTCAGTAATCTCTAGTAAATTTTTTCTTGAATTTTATTGAAGTTCCTTAATAACTTGCTTAATTTATTTTATTTTATATTTTCATTGCTTTGCTTATGCATTACAACACTTCAAAATATCAACTCGAATTTGTCATGAAAAAGAGATTGTTTAAAATTTTGAACTAGAAACTTAAATATCAATTTAAAAACAATAAGTTAAGATGAATTGGGTAAACTATATGGATGACCCCTTATATTCTCATTCCGTTAGATTTTAATCATCAATTAAAAAATTATTTTGATCTCTTATGTTATTGATTCGTTTAATTTTCGTCATTCGATCATTAAATCCTGTCATTAACGGAAGTTTAAATTTGCAATTAAAAAAATCATATGTACTCCTTCGGATACTGAAGCAATAAAATCTCATCATCTAGATACTGATGCAGCACTTGATAAAATCTCCTCATTGTCCCCGAAATGGTAGTGCTCATAGACTTCATATAACAATTCCTTGCATGATACAACGGCTCATAGCATTAAATTGCGGCCACTGCAATCTAACAACGATATTGTAATGATTTTGAAGGTCAAATAAGGTAATGATTTCAATTTAAATATTTAAGTGATGTGTATATATCCAATGCAGCAAGTTTAGATACTGAATAACGGAACCGGTTATCATCATATATATCATCATCCAAGCAGCAGCCATTTCCTTTATGAGGAGGCCCTAAAGATGCATCAACTACATCAAGAAGAAGAAGAAGAAACAAGAAACAAGAAGTAGTAGAAGAAGAAAAAGACACTGCAGGTTTATGATGGTGAAAGAAGAAGAATGACACGTAATTTTTTTTTAATTGCTGTTTTAGCTCCCGTCTATATAAAGCGCCTTTGAACTATTTTTACTTCCAAGCCTACAAAGTGTATCATTGATTTGAAGAGGATGTTGGAGATCAACTACTCGACGGAAAGTTGGCTATCAGTTCTTGTATCGATGATAATGGCAAGTGTTCTTTCCCTAACGATTTTTTCTACTATAGAGAATGGTGTAAACTCAAATATGTAACGGAAGAGATTGTGACCAATATAGCTGGAAAAAATCGTTAGGGAAAAAACACTTGCCGTTGTCATCAATCCATGAACTGACCGCCAACCTTCCGTCAAGAAATTTTCTCCAACATCCTCTTCAAATCAATGATACATTTGGCACCGTTGATCACTTCGATTATTGGTTTCCGCCTCAAGAAACCTGCACACATTGTTTCTAAGACAGCGTGACACAACATAGTTTCCCTCAAAATTTGCATTGTTCGTTTTCTTGGAGATTTCGGCGAGGAGAACGGCAGCGGCAGAGAGGGAACATCAGCAGATTCCACCCTGGTTCACTGCAATGGCATGACGAACTAGGCCAGATGTTCAACCGGACTTCGCATAAGATCTTCTTCCAGAGATAGGTTTCGGCTTCGAATGCGTTTGAAGATAACAGATTTCTCATATCAACCCAGCAAAACAAGCCTGCATTGCTTTTAGAGTTAATTAGAATGTCTGCAAATATATGATCAATGAACATGTGTGGAAGACATGGTTTCATCAAACAACATCGGAATGCATAAAAGAATGGTTAAACAACTTTACATGGTACAATCGGGGATGCTTGCCTACACATGAAGTAAGCCTACGACAGTAAGTGATGTTCACTGCTTCCTAAAGTTCCCCCAAACGCTTCAGTGGCACAATATTTAATCAGTTAAGGGTCCGCTGTATATTTATGCACAGAGAGTTCTTTGTATAAATAGGCAACTTTCACTAAGTTTAGGTATTGACATGTTTTGAAATTCATTGCTTTCATGTTGTTGGAAATGCACCTGGTCGATATTTGAGGGTCTGTCCTTTCTATCCATTTTCTTTTCAGCTTTCAGAAGTATAAAGGGAATAACGCACAGTTTCTCATGTTTGGCAACCTTTTTTAAAGTGAAATCTCTTTTAGCATCTGCAATACTTAGATTCTTGTTAAGATTCGATTAGGCAAAAAAGACATTTGAAAAGAAGATTGTACTGACAACACTTGGATTCTTTTCCTCTCAATTTTCCCATAGTTGCGTCTATGTTCACTTGCAAGAGACCTCATACCATTGTTCTGCAGAGGTAAAGCACTTTATTAAATGAATCTTGAAATACATGGACAATTATCAACATTATCTGAGACCAATACTTAAATTAATATGTGATTCAGCCTCAGATAATTTGCCGAAAAAGAGCTTGTCAAAGTTATCTGATAATAAACATTGCTTTTGGCGTTTCAATTAGACCATTACTTAACTTTACCGATCATTATTCCAGTTGCAAGCCTTGTCAATATTTAAGTCTATAAAATCCCTGGGAAATAGAATCATAGTAGCTGTTGGGGTGAATTCACGAGATAATGTTCTCGAACTTTTTTATTCACGATATAATGCACATTTCAGATTAATTGCTGGGATGGGGTGAATTCTACAGTGATCTCGTAGGACGCCATGCAATCCAGGCGATCTTGTAGGACGCCATGCAATCCAGGCGACATACGGGAGACATACGAGTGACATACGAGCCATACAAGCCATATACGAGCCACGAGCCAATGGAGAGGTCGCCATGCAGTATTATACGAGGAGAGGTCGCCATGCAGACGAGCCAGCCAATGGAGAGGTCGCCATGCAGACGAGCCAGCCAATGGAGAGGTCGCCATGCAGTCTGGGCGACCTTGTAGGTCGCCATGTAGTCCCGGCGACCTTGTAGGTCGCCATGTAGTCCCGGCGACCTTGTAGGTCGCCCCGGCGTCACCTAGCTCCCGAGACCATGCATGCACATGCAGCCAAGATAACTTCACGTGCTCCTGCTCCCCGCTGCATGCCTACAGCTATTGATGGCATGTGATCCTAGCTCACGAGACCATGCATGCACAATAATTGAACCATTGCTGTTGGTGAAATAATTGAGGCAACCGGTTATATATGGGGTGTGCAAATCGCAAGAACATAAAAGAAAGATCACACATAAAAGAAAGAAAGAAAGGGAGAAGAGATTGCAGCCGAGAAAGAAAGAAAGGGAGAAAGAAAGGAAAGTAAGAAGAAGAAAGGGAGATAAGGTAAATTTGTTTATATTTAAATTAGTTTATTATTATAAATGTTAATTAGTTTTATTAGTTTAGGGTTATATGATTGTTAGTTTAAGTTATAGTATACATAAATTAAAATTATTTAATTAGTATATGTTTGATAGTTATATAGTTAAAAATAATTAATTAGTTTGTTTTGTTAATAGTTAGTTATATAAAAAAATTATTTAATTAGTTTTTGTTAGTTAAATAGTTAAGTTATATTTGTTTGTTGAATATATATTATATAAAAAATTAGTTAGTAAGTTTATTAGTAGTATATAATGAAAAAATAGTTTATTAGTTAGTTTTAGTTATATAAAAAATATTTATTAGTTGTTTAAGGGTTTGGTGTTTACGTTTAACTTATATTTTAAAAAGTTTAGTTTGTTAGTTTATTAGTTTATTATTTATAGTTATTATATTAAAGTTTAGTGTTGTAAATTAGTTAGTTAGTTTATATTAGATTATATTAAATGATTTTTTAAATATTTTGTTTAATTTTTTTACAGATTCATTCCAATGGCTGACCAAATTCCACTGTTGAGGCTTGACAATGAACATATTTCAAGTCATTTGGGAATAATGGTGAATAAAATATTTGTTTAATGAATTATAATTAATAAATATTTGAATATTATTTTATGATTGTGATAATTTTTTTGAAATATTTAATTGTAGGAGGACGAGCAGCGAGTCCTTCGTCTCCGACTACATAAAGTGCCCAAGCCACACCCACTAATAGAAGAAAATTTGCAAGAGGCTGGATTTTGGTATATCACATTTGTGCGAGATTACAAGTTGGTCCCAGGTTTGATCAGTGCGTTGATTGAACGCTGGAGACCAGAAACGCACACGTTTCATTTGCCGTGTGGCGAATGCACGATAACTTTGGAGGATGTGGCAATGCAACTCGGGGTCCAAACTAATGGGATGTCGGTGGTAATGTCATATGAGTTTAATAAGGTGGAACAACTTTGCAACTTGTTTCTTGGGAAAGCGCCCGTACCACCAGAGTGTAAAGGGTGGCGGGTGAGGTTGTCATGGTTGAAGAATGAATTTCAACTTCAATCAAATAGTATGGAGCACGAAATTATATATGCAACACGAGCATATATATTACAATTGATTGGGGGAATTTTGATGCCTGATAAATCCGGTAGTTATGTTCACACTCAGTATCTTCTTTTTTTAACAAATTTTGAGAATTGTAGGTAATATAGCTGGGGTTCGGCGATATTGGCGTTCTTGTATCGTGAGATGTGCAAGGCGTCATTAGTCGTGAATGATAATAATACAGTAGAAATCGGTGGATGTATGTTGCTGCTACAATCATGGGCTTGGCATAGACTTCCGTTTTTGACACCGATTAGTCGGACTGCGGTTGACTTTCCACTTGCCGGAAGGTAATATGAATCCTCTATTTTAATATAAATATTAATTAAAAAATATTTATTTTGATTAAAATTATTGAACAAAATGTCTCTATTTTTGTTTTGATTGATATACAGATGGAGGCATAAAATTGAAGGCACAGGGTTGGTGCACAACAACATTAAAGAGTTCAGGTTGAAGATCGA